TATTATTATTATTACTAACTTATTATTGCATACCAAAACCCAAATTAATGATATATTTTTACCGTTAATGTTACCTCACGAGCTACTCCAATTCAGGAAATAACTGAAACAGTTTGCGATTGTAAGTATTTTTAAGCAGGATCTGACAGTTTTCCACAGTGAGAAAATTGTTAAGATGACCTGAAACGTGCTTTAAATTAGTCAAAAAGTGATCTCGAGAATTTTACAAATTTACGCACACGTACGGCACGTCATGACGCGTGCTCGAACAGTAAAGGCAAACGAAGTTGATTCTTGATATATAGTATCTTGTGCCTTTCAGTGTTGTAAACCAGTCTTCCACCCTCCTGTGGGGTGATTTATGATTATTCATAGAATGTCACAATGATTTGAAGAAAGATGAAAGAGTGGGGGGGGGGGTGGTCATAAAAAAACATTCATTTTGACCATGATGACGTCACCAAAATGAAAAAACAAAGGACACAATCATGAAAGAAAATTGTCTCAGCTATAACATATTGAAAGGAGGTAGACGATCGATCAAGGATAACGAGATACGATCAAATGCTTATAACAATTATGACGTTATAGATAAAAAATTCAGTTGTTTGAATTCCGATGGCAATATGATGACGTCATAATGTCTGATCATCCATCAATAAAATCATATCTACAACTCATGTGCTTTCAGAATATGTAATAATATTTGGGCTCACTGTGCATCCTAAGGAGCTATTACTGATTAAAAGAATTTCACAAAATGGCGCGTAGATGATGTGATGTGTGATGTCACACAAAAATCACCTGAAAATTTCTGCTGCCTAAGTAACAAGGATAGAACCTGTGCCGTTTTTGAGAAAAGCCGCGAACAAAAACATGTGGGAAAGAATAAAAAAGAAGAAATAAAGCAGAAAAATCTTGTTGCAGCGTATCAGCTAATTATATATTCCTAATATTTATGCTTAGCCAGAAAGGCATGCCATAGTTTCAGCACCTGGCCACAAAGGTCAACGATTACCAGATTTCTAATAAAGGGAGACACATTATAGTGATTGTTTAATGGCAAAAAATCAACTAACTAAATAATAATAGTTTAAAAAATCCCTTTTATTCCAGCATGCAGATCAAATATTGCTAACTGTGAAGTCGTAGATTGTACCACTTCTTGGAATTCCATGTGCACAAAATGCCTTTACCACATTAATGACGTAGTAAAAGCATATGAGTTAGTTAATGGTCGGTGCAAACGTAAGTATGTTGTGTTTATTATTTGATTTAAACTTAGCTTCAATTTAATAATTGGTTTCGATAATAAAATAGAGTCTTTAAACGAATTTTATTAACAAAACTGTATTTTTAATAAGTAAAACTAGTATATTGTCTGTCCTGAAAGCACATTTATTAGTATTTTGACTAAAATTGATTTGTTCTCCCAAAGTACAGTAATTGAGTTTGCATTTAGCATTGATTTTACTATTTCTTACTGTACCCATCCCTACATAGGACTTTGTTCGTGGAGAAGTGATAGTAGGTCTTGCTTTCCTGGTAGATGTGCTCCTTCAAACAAAAAGTGTATTTGTGACACAGACTTTGATATGGATGACAACTGCATGAAAAGTAATTTAAGATTCATAGTCAGACAAATGAATGATAACGTTGATAAAATGTTTTCATGATCATAATTTTTTTTTATTGATAGTTGCTGTGCCGCCAACAGTATCAAACTGCTCAATACTATTGCAACATGACAATGGATTCAATAGAGTTATTACAAGCAATATTCCATGTCAGCGATCACCCATTTCAACAATTTATTCATCCATACAAGGAAACGGTTTTCTCGTGAATTGGCAGACCCTGTTTTCGGCGACTGAATATTCATTTCCTTATTATGTCAACGATTTCAGTGTGGGCGTGACTTCAGCCATTGTCAATTGGCATATTGAGAGAGGTGACTACTGAAATTTTTAAACTTGTAGTTATGGCGTATACAGTACATAATTATGTAGCTATTTGTTATATTCATCAAAAGAAAATCTATCTTTATTGTTACTCTAATTGCTTGCTTTCCATTCCGGGACTCTAGCTTTCAGATGCAGCATACTGTAGGGCTAACTATGCCGGTATCACCCTAACCACTTGTACGATTTTCGTTTCCGCAACGGCCCGCACGCGATTTTTTTTTCCGTACGAAACATTTGCATGAAACTTCACTCGGGCCATCTCGGATTGACTCGAGTGAGTACGATACGAGGAACAAGAGCAGACACTTCGCAATGTCGTGACGCTCGAGTTTTA